GAGGTAGCTCACCCGACCTCGAGTGCGCGCGGCCGCCCTGCCACGGAAAAAGATATCCCTCCTTTTCCTCCTCGTCGCCTCTTCTTTTCCTCTCCCTATCCATCCAGTGCGCACGCGTGCACACAACCAGTGCGCTTGCTCACTGTGGAGCCGTCTGGGGGTCTGAGTTGGCCCAGCAGTGTTTCCAGCCAGCGGGAAGGGCGGGCAGGTTCAAGGCCTTGGGTTCGGGAACGCTTTTTTGCCTTTTTCAGCCTCCGGGGGCTGGATCAGGGGTGAAAGAATGGACCCGATGAACCCCGAGAGGGGTCCGGGGACAGATTTTGAGCGGATTTGGATACATCCCCCCCTGACCGCTTTTCGGTTGTTCAGACCCCATGGCCGCCTCGAATCACTCAGGCGACCTGCCTAAGCGGCCTTAAGGTCCACCGAGCAGCGTTTGCATGCGCGGCGCCACGGGCACTGACGGGATGATCTGGAGGCCTGCTTGCCACGCAGCTCCAAAGTCTTCCTTTTCTTGCTCCACGCCCTTGGCCATTACAGTGCCGTATTGAATACATGCTCCCCGTGCGGATCATGTATTAAAATAAAGGATTTTGGTATTAAAAGCAATGATGAATTTATGCAAATCGTTTATTAATAATTTAATCATGTATGACACATCCAATGTATTAAACATCCGATGTATTAAAACCTGCCCTGTACCTCCTTCGCCTTCCCCCCTCCCTCCCGCCTGACCGCCTCCGCGCCTCTGCCCTCCCTCCTCCCCGCCTCGTCCCTGGCCTCCCCCCCAAATCCTATTCCCTCCCGTCCTCCCCGCCGCGTCCCCGGCCTCCCCCCCTAACCCTCTTCCCTCCCATCCTCCCCAGCCGCCATGCTGTCTCTCCGTCTCCCCGCTCTTGCCTCCTCCCTCCTCCCTCCTCCGCCCCTTCCCTCCCTTCCCAGAGCCCCGACGTCGCGATTTGCTCGCAGCGTGGGCCCCCGGAGGTCTGGGCCCTCTCCTGGGACAGGCCTGTCGGCCCGAGCCCGTTTATGTTGACGGCCCGTGGCCCTTGTACGGGCTCCCTCCCCGCCTCTCCCATCCCCTCCGCCTCCGCGCGCCCTTGCCGGGGCCATTCCCAGACACCCGACTCGGGGTTCAAGGGGCGGGGGTCAATACATAGGAAAGAGCGTGTTCTACCGCTGCTGGCGGAAAACCGGGGGGGGTCACTACCGGTTCGAACCCCTCCCCCCCCCCCTCCGGAAAACCGGGGGGGGTTCGGGGAAAAGGGGGGGGGGGTCACTACCGGTTCGAACCCCTCCCCCCCCCCCCCCTCCGGATCCGGAAAACCGGGGGGGGTCACTACCGGTTCGAACCCCCCCCCCCCTCGAAAACCGAGTGGGGGTGCGGACAGTGGTGGGGACGGTGTTGGTGGGGACAGTGGTGAGGGGACAGCGGGGCAGTGGTGGGGACAGTGGGGGGACAGTGGGACAGCGGTGGGGAGGGTAGTGGTGGGGACAGTGGTGGGGACAATGGTGGGGACAGTGGGACAGTGGGACAGTGGTGGGGACGGTAGTGGTGGGGACAGTGGTGGGGACAATGGTGGGAACAGGGGGGGACAGTGGACAGTGGTGGTGACGGTGGTGGTGGGGACAGTGGTGTGGGGACAATGGGAATGAGGTGGAAACAGTGGGACAGTGGAGGGTACAATGGTGGTGGGGACAGTGGTGAAGGCGGTGGCGAGGACGGCGGTGGGACAATGGGACGGAGGTACAGTGGGGACAGTGGTGGGGACAGTGGGGACAGTGGTGGGAACAGTGGGACAGCTCAGTGGGACAGCGGAGGAGTCAGTGGGACAGTGGGGACAGTGGGGATAGTCGGGCAGTGGTTGGGGCCGTGGAGACAGTGGGGAGAGTGGAATCGTGGTGGGAACAGTTCTGGGGACAGCGGGGACAGTGCGACAGTGGTGGGGCCACTGGTGGGGACAGTAGGGGCGGTGGTGGAACCAGTGGGGACAGCGGTGGTGAGGACAGTGGTGCTGGGAACACCAGTGGGGGATGTGATGCGGACGGTGGTGGGGACCGGGAGTCGTTTGCTGGCGGTGAGTAGGGGGGGGGGGGGGGGGGGGGGGGGGGGGGGGGGGGGGTTCGAACCGGTAGTGACCCCCCCCGGTTTTCCGGATCCGGAGGGGGGGGGGGGGGGGAGGGGTTCGAACCGGTAGTGACCCCCCCCGGGTTTTCGAGGGGGAGGGGGGGGGGGGGGGGGGGGGGGTAGGGGAGGGGGGGGGTTTTGCGGGAGGGAGGGGGGGGGGGGGGGGGGGAGGGGTTCCAGCAGGGGGGGGGGGGGAATTTCGGAGGGGGGGGGGGGGAGACCCCCGGGTTCCGGAGGAAAAGGTTGGCAATTTTCCACAGTAAAGCGGCGGTGGATCACGCTCTCTCATACATAGGGGTGTCAGTCAGAGCGCCGGATTTCGCAGAGTCTCCACAGTAAAGCGGCGGTGGATCACGCTCTCTCATACATAGGGGTGTCAGTCAGAGCGCCGGATTTCGCAGAGTCTCGCAGAGGCAGGTTTGCATTGACCCAGGGTTGGGCGCAGGATCCTGCAGGATCCTGCAGGATCTTGCAGGATCCTGCAATGCCTGACTGACCCGGGTCTGGATTGACCCGGGTCAGGAGATCCCCGCCCGACGCCGTGACTGTTCCGCACCGCGCCGTGGAAAGGATCACGGCCAGCAGCTGTTTGGCAGATTTTTGTTCGGCTTTCGGGGGGCCTCCCCCGGCCCCAGGGGCTGTCAGAAGACGGCTCACGACGTAGAGCGAGCTCTGGGGTGGGCAGGCCGGGGTTTGGGCGCCAGCAGCTCGTTCTGAAGGGAAAATCCCCCAACAGGCCACGGTAATTACAGTCGGACCGAGGCATAAATCGATGTCGGCTCGGGGAGGGTACCCTAGTTAGTGTTCTTCGTGTGTATGTGTGTGTGTGTGTGTGTGTTGGATGTTCTTGCGCACCCTGGGGAGGGAACCCCTGGATATCTTGTTTGTTTTGGCCGACGGAGGGTCCCCTGTTCTTGATGGATACTTTTCCGGCCTTGGTCCGGCTGTAGTGGTGTCAAAGTTCCCCCCAAAAATTCAAGCGTCTCCGAAGAATGACGTTGCATCATTCTGCGTTTGAAGGAATAGTGACCACGCTGGTGCGAGTAGGAACAAGTTCCTTCCACCCTGGCCTTGCCACTCCGGGGAAAGGGTCCTCGGACCACCGAAACTTGAAAAAGCCAGGACGCTGGATCTGTGGTAGTGGTCCGGCCCCTCCCCCGGGGACACGCCTCCTCCGTCCCGAGTTATTTTTTAGGGGCGGCCCCGTGGTTTTGCCTCGGGCCGCTGGAGGCCGAGATGCGCCAAAACAGAAGAGACGTCTTGCCCGTGTATCAAACAGTGGAGCGGGCATGATCGTCATGAAGTTATGACCCTGCGTCAGTGCGTGCGTAAATGCAGAAGATAATCGCGTGAGGTCAGGCCACACAGGCCTTCCTCCCAAGATTGATTCACAAGGCCAAGGCGTCGGATCTCTGGGTCCGGGACCCCGTCCTGCGCGGCGCCAGCTTCTGGTGGCAGCAGCTCTTTGGCCCCGAGACGTGCAGACACGCAGCATCCTATAGTAGTTCCCAACCATCCTCGACACCAACACCACCAGGGAACGGAACCAGAGCAAATAAGCGACAACGGAACCGCGCGCCCACAGTGCCCGCGTACGCCTCGGGAGGATCGTGGTAGCGTTGAGGAGCGCTTGTTCCCTATGGGCAGCGGAGCCTCAGCCTGGCGTCGGACAAGTCAAACGTGGGGGGCCAGTCGCTGCTGCCTGGGCCCTTCGTAGCGCCCACTGGCGGGGCGTGGTGGACCGCCCACAGGGTCTCGGGGACCCAATCGGCCAGCCCGGCGGGAGGGCCCCTGTTGGTGTTGGTCCCCCCCTTCGCTCCGGACATCCTCGGAATCGGGCTCGGGTGCCACGATAGATAAGGCAGGGGAGTCGCCGATGGGACCCCGAGGGGTGGCGGGTTCCGTAGCCCCAAGGGTTTTGGGCAGTTTTGCGGTTTGTCTTTGTCCCGCATGCTTCCTTCTTCCGTTCTGTGAGCAGCCGCCTTGTTCGCGTCGCCTCCACTCCCCCGATCCGTCCTCTGCCTATGTCTTCTGGCTTCGCCGCCTTCAGGCTTGTCCGTCTTTCCCACTATTCGGTCTTACATCGCCCAGGAAACTGTCCCTGGTGGTGTTGGTGTCGGTTTACTTCCTTCCCAGGTGGTGTTGGGTCCCCGTTTTGAATCAGCATTGCCCCGCGTCTTCTTCCTTCCTTCCTTTCTCCTCCCCTCTATCCCTGCTCTCTCCTCCCTCTTCCCCATCCCTACTTCTGCCCTCCTCCGCACGTCTACTTAGGCACACCCCTCACACGTTTCGTGGCCCCACAGCGAACTCCACTGAAGGCCTCAGTTGCAAGGTTCGCATCGCGGTCCCGTTTGCCTTTCGGCGCACGCCTCACACGTTTCGTGGCCCCACAGCGAGTTCCACCGGAGGCCCCAGAGGCAGGGTTCGCATCGCGGCCCCGTTTCCAGTTCGGCACACCCCTCACACGTTTCGTGGCCCCAAAGCGAGCTCCACCGACGGCCCAAGTTGCCAGTTTCGCATCGCGGTCCCGCCTGCATTTCGGCGCACGCCTCCCACGTCTCGTGGCCCCACAGCAAGCTTCACCGAAGGCCCCAGTGGCAGGGTTCGCGTGGCGTTCCCGCTCCGTCTCGGCACACCCCTCACACGTCACGCAGCCCCATAAGGGAGCCCCACCGGAGGCCCCATTAGGAGGGGTCGCATGGCGGCTCCGCCTCAATCCGGCGCACCCCTCGCACGTTTCGTGGCCCCATGGGGAGCTCCACCGAAGGCGGTGCCCTCAACAAAGTATTCGGTTGCTCTCCCGCGGCGCGAGGACGTCCATGCCCCCACCCGCCTCCGCGCGCGCCTCGTGCTGGAGCCCCTGGCCCGGCAGGGACACCATCCACATCCCGGGCATCGAGCTCGGCTTCAAGCGCCCAGTCCTGTTCGAGCGCCACGCCGTGGGCGGCGAGTACGGCGCCGGGTGGTCGAACGTTGGCAAGGGCAGGGTGTTGACGACCTTCTTCCCCGACGACATGACGGAGCGGCCACGCGTGCACACGTGCGGACGTGGTGGCTGAGTGGCGTGAGGAGGGCGACGACGGTGACGACGGTCAAGGAAGGGCATGGTGAATGCGATCATGAGGATTAGAATGCGGATCCTGACGATGATGACAAGTGCGAGCATGCGGATCCTGACGATGATGACAAGGACGACGGCGATGACGATGACGATGGTGATGGTGACGAATGACGATGCTATTTCTGACGAGGAGGAGGACCACTATGATGGTAATGGTTCTGGTGGTGGTGTCGTCATTGACGACCAGGCGCCCAGAAGAGTGGCCGCCGAGTTTGAGGCGGGCCAGGCGCAGTGCAGTGTTGGCAAGGGGGTGAGGGAACCGAGGCAATCTTTCACGCTTCGCACATCCCCACCATCAGGAGGGGGAACACACATAGACACAATTACTCGTCGATCCCCCAGAACATCTGGGAATGCATAGGAAGTGAGGGGAAAGACAAATTTTTAGATAATAGAATAATCAGATTGGATCTTGGGGTTTGTGCGCATTTGTCTGTATGTCCCAAGGCCCCTTCACACCAGCCCGTCCAGGATCGATGCCCAGGGGAGCTGCCCTCCTCGGGCGAGCGTAGCCCACCGGGATACCCTGGGAAGCCTTGGTGGGCCAGAGGCCTTGGCATCGCTCGGACGTGTGCATTTTTTCTCGGAGAGAACCATCGAGGACCATCCTGGACGATCGAGCAACAAAAACACGCACGAAACCGACGAGTGCACGGGACATGGACGTCCGAGCGATGGCAAGGAGGCGCCCTGGGCGCCCCCTGGGACCTCCTGGTGTGTCTGTTTTGGGCCCCCCTCGCGGCCTCGGCCCCGAACCGCCTTCCGCCCAGAGGGCTGCTGGGACTTCGTGGGCCCCCGTGGCCGTGAGGACCGAGCCCGAGGGCGGCACCCCCAGACAGCTCTCGGCGCGATGTATGGCTGCCGGAAGGCATCGCGAGGCGGAAGGCCGCCGAGAGCCGACGAGGACGTCCGAGAAAACCTCGAGCGCACCCGAACTCGAAGACGTGGGGCGGGTCCAAGAAAAATACACCGTGCAGCGATCCCGGGGCGCCTCGAGCCCGCAAGCGAGGGCGCCCGAGCACACCCTCGTGGGACTCTGTTGGCACCCGTGGCCGTGCCGTGCCGAGCCCGGTGGCGGCACCGCCCGAGGCTCCCCCGCTTCTTCTTCTAATCATTCGGAGGTTGGCAGACCTCCTACCCCGACACGTCGATTAGCGACTTGGCCGTTTTCGGTTCGCGAGAGGGCGTCGCGGCCGTCATTTTTGCGGGTCAAGGCCCGTCGGTGTTTGTCCTGGGCCGTTGTCACTAAAGGGTGGTTTGCTAAAGGTAGGCTTGTCCACCGCCGACTCATCGAGGATCAATCGGGGCAGCGTGAGACTCGAGTGCGCTGGAGTTCGGGCTTGCCAGCGCTTTTTGACGAGCGCGCCATGGATTTCGACGGTACAGTTTTCGCGGGATGTCTGCAGCGGGAGTTCGCGTCCAATTCCAGATTGGGTCTCGTCATGTTGTTTTGTCATTTTCAGGATGGCCCTGTCAGGCCAACCCGAGTCCCCCGAACCCGAGTTTTACGTCTCCCCAATGAAAAAGAATCCCTAACCCTAAGAACATAGTGAAGACGTGGCCTCACTGAGGTCCCCCTCTTTGCATCAGGGCTCATAGATCGGGGAGGTCTGGTCTGGCACATCTGCAAAAAAGACCCCTCCCTATCCCTAATGTTTTTTCAAGGGAGGAAAAACCACCGGGACCCGACAATTGGCGTTTACTAAACGGCCCTGGGCGTTCACTAAGCAGCCTTGCCCTGTTCGGTTCCTTCCGTGGGTGCGTTTACTAAGCGGCTTCGTGTGTCGGGTTGATCATGATGGGGGTGGATATTCTGCGTTCTATTTTTTTGGCCCTCCTAACTTAGGTCGCCTCTCAAAGGATAGTGCTACTTTTAATGCTTAGCATCTAAAGCTTGGTGCCCAGAACCTCCGCGGGCGCGCGGGGGGAGGCGCTGCTATCCGGGGGGGTCAAAAGGGGCAATGTTAGGAGATCGCTACACGTAAGTCGGGCATGTCCCTCTACAGGATGAATATTCAAAAATAGTCAAAACATAGTCAAGGGTCGCTTTCTGGATTATTATTTGATAATTTCTGAGTCTGCTTGGGGAATTTGTTAACTTGTAGGGGGGCATGCCCGACCTAAGGCTACACGTTTTCGAGTTCAGGTTTTCGAGGTTTTCGGACGTCCTCGTCGGTTCTCGGCGGTCTTCCGGCCTCGCGATGCCTTCCGGCAGCTGCATCTCGCCGAGAGCTTTTTGGGGGTGCCCGAATCGTCCCGAACGGCCTCTGGAGAGCCGAGTGATGAGTCGAAAGCCATCGGCGCCGACAGGGGGTGGATAGGCTTCAGGGGACATGCATTGACCCCCCACTCATCGCCGATAGGGGCCCGATAGCCCATCCCGACCATGAATGCTCGGTTTCGCTACCGTGTGCCCGTTGCCGATCTATCCGCGAGGTACCGCTGATTCCAGGTCCATGTTTCCCCCGCGATCGTTGTCGCTCATAGATGCTGGTGCCTCGGGGATATGTTCCCGCGGGACGGCATTGGACTGATGGCGTGCTGCTCGGGGCTCACACGGTCGCGGCAGATGTGGACGAAAGCGGTCAATTTCGGAGTCACGCTCTGCGGCCGAAGAATAAGAAAAATAATAAGAAGAAGAAGAAGTGTTTGCAGAAACATCATTGATTCCCTTCGGGGATCATCCCTTACAATTGGAACGATACAGAGAAGATTAGCATGGCCCCTGCGCAAGAATGACACACGTTAAGAGCCTGCAGAAACATCACGCTCCGCAGTCACGCAAGAATAAGCTGCACAAATATGAGCTTTCGGAGGTCCGCGCGGATGTCTTGAATCGGCGCTGGAGCCCCCCTTTCCGTGCGCGCGGAGCGCGCAAAGGGGCGGTGCCGGAGGTGCCGTCAGAGGGCAGCGCCGATCCAAGAGACGATCTTCAACGTTCTGCCGCTGTGGGGCTCTCTTTGGCGCCCCTTGGAGCTACCTTGGGGGGCTCTCGGGGCTCTTCGGAGCCTCTTTGGATTCCACCTGTGGCCACCATTGGCTTCAGAGGCCCGTTGGAAGCGAGAAGGCGAGGACGCCCAATTCATTCATATGCATACCTACATACAGCTACATGTACAAGTACACTTCGTGTACACACATGTATATACATATGCATACATATATACATATACACATACACAGACCTATACAAGTACAACTACACATGTTTGTGTGTATATATTTAAATTTGTACGTATATATATATATGCTGCCGCCTGGCCAGTGCTGGGGGCATTGGCGGTAAGAACGAACGCCGGCCGAGGGGCCCGCGCGTCGAGACATTGGCAGCAGGTTGAGGTGGTTCGGTCCGTTCCGCATGAGACGTCCTCACTTGTCAGCGTTCCGAGACGACCAGATTTGACATGATCTGGCCCGTTTCGCTTGAAACATCTTCGCAAACCTGGTTTCCCAGACGCTACGCGAGAGGTGGTCTGGCCCATACCGCCTGAAGCATCCTCAAAACTTTTGGGCGCGGGGATGCCGTGGCCTGAGGTTTCCTCGTCCTTTTCGCTTGAGGCATCATCGCTGTGAAAGGATTCAAGGTGCCGCCCGCGAAGTGATCCTGTCTGTTTCGCCTAGGACGTCCCAGCAATTGTGGGCAAAGAGATGACGCGTGCGAGGGGGTCCAGCCAGTTTCGCATGAGACGTCCCGCAGTTCCGAGCAACCGTTGAGGTGTGCGAAGCGAAGGGGGAGGGGGAGGCGGAGTAGCAGGATGATTGAGGACGAGGGGGAGGAACGATAATGCTCTTATTGCTGTCAGTCAAATACTCTTGTTGTCAATGCTCTCGGGGCACGTCTCGCCGCCAGGGCTGGACGAGTCTCGATCGTGCCTGGTGCTGCGGGCTGGTGCTCTGCCGACGAAGGGTGTGTCACTGGCCCGGTCGCGCCCAGATTGTGCGGACGTCTCGAACGGTCCGTTAGTTTTCCTGGGTGGAGGTGTGCTTCGGAGCCGTACGGTCCTCGCTGGCCACGTCGGTTGGCTTTTTGGGGCCGTTTGGGCCCCGTCCAGGGCTTGCCATGGCTGGCAAAGGGGGACAGTGCACCTGAGCCCCGGTGCCCAGGTCGCCCGGGACAGATTCGGGCGACCCCGCCAACCCCAACGGCGGTGCCAGGGAGGTGCCGGGGAGGGGTTGCCCTCAAAAGAGCTGGGTGCGCCCCATGGCCTACAGAGAGCCATCCTCGGAACATCGGGCTCCACGATGCCCTGACTACATGTATTCTGACTCGTCTCGCTTGAGATGTCCTCACAAGTCTGGATTCCAAGATGTAGTTCGCGAGGTACTCAGGCCTGTTTTACCTGAGACAGCCTCGGAACCACAGGCTTCAAGATGCTCTGAATTGAGGTGCTCTGGCCCGTTTCGCTTGATACGTTCTCACCTTTGGGGTTCAAGATGTGGTTCGCGAAGTACTCAGGCACGTTTCGCCTGAGACATCCTGGTTATCCCTGGCTCTGACCGTTTGGCCTGAGACGTCCTCGCAACTCTGGGTTGAAGATGCGGTGCACGAGGTGCTCAGGCCCGTTTCGCTTGAGACATCATCGCAACCCCGGCTTCCGGGATTCTCTGACTTGAGATGTTCAGTCCCGTTTCACCTGTGATTTCCTCATTACGTTGTTCGCTTGAGACATCTTCAGAACGCCAGGCTTCAAGATGCCTTGAATTGAGGTGCTCTGGCCCGTTTCGCCTGAGACATCCTCACAACTCTGGGTTCCAAGATGTGGTTCGCGAGGTACTCATGCACGTTCCGCCTGAGATATCCTCGGAATCCGTGGCTCTGACCGTTCGGCTTGAGACGTCCTCGCAACTCTGGGTTGAAGATGTGGTGCACGAGGTGCTCTGGCCCGTTTCCCCTGAGACATTCTCACAATTCTGGGTTCCAAGATGTGGTTCGCGAGT